GTGCTGCTCATTCTAATGTAATTCTCACAATATTACCGGATGGTACATTTTGTTTGTTATTATTATTATTTAAGGGGAGAGAAGGTTGGAATGAGGCTCACTCCCTCCTTCCGCCTTGTCAAAATGTGGTGGGTGGTGATTTTGGAGTCGTAACGTTTTCTAAATGCTTGTATTCATCTGTCGTGGAAAGATTCATTTCTTGTGAAACTTTGGCAGTAAAGGAAGCTTTACAGTTGCACATTATTTAAGTTTTGGTGTGCCAACTGAATGTTCATGAGAATCATAGTCGAGGACTGATCGACATTTCAAAATCGTTACCGAGAGACCGTCTTTGAAGTGTGTGTCACCCAAATGGAGTCTTTGGTAGGTTATTCGGTCATCTTAGGCCATTGCTGCTCGTCAGTCTGATTAACAGGTTTCACACCGCCCCTCAAGATGTGCTCCTTGGGTGTGTGAGACGAAGGTATTTTCCACTTCATTTTCACCAGCATTTTACATACTGGAGCGATTTCGAGTCCCCTTGAAGGGGACTCACCGAAAAGAGAAGCTCTTCTTACTTCCTCCAAGTGATGCATCATAAGTAAGAGCAGTGATAGAAGCATGGTTTGTGTGTTTATTCCAGCTGGTACTTGAAATCAATTTGGTCGAGGATCGCGTTACTTAGTCATCAATCTCCATTTGGATTTTAGCCCCAGAGCTCAGAAAAGTCATCCTCCGAGGCTGTCTTTGAGTACAACAGCGAAGACTCATCACCGCCCTCTGACTACGACGACTATGAGACTGCAATTAAGCACTTCCGAAACAGTCAAGTTCGACGTCATTTGCGTACCTCAGATGATAGTGTTGTTCCGGTTTCGCCCTCCTCTTCTACTGCCAGTGAATTCACTGCCATTATCGAGGTTTGATATTTACACGATTAGCGTTATTCTTTGAGGGTGGCTTCTGTTTCAGTCCATCAGAACTTCAGTTTGTGTTTTCAGGATCGTAGGGATGCAATTCTACTTCCTGGTTGTGATCTCAAGACTGTCCACTTGAATCCGGATCTCGGTGTTACTGGTTTCGGCGATGTCCTCGACGCCCCTCCGCTTGCAATGACTGGAAGCCAGGATGACAACTCGGATGCTTCAAACGAAGTTGACAACTTTGATCTCAATGCATCGGCAGATAGACAATGGTTTGATGGTTGCAGTTATTCTTGGCGTTTGATGCGACTGGCCTTTGTTCAGCTCATGGCACAGCAATTGACTGGGTTGATCAAGCTTCTCAATCTTGACAATGACTGTAATTATTTTGTCATTTCGTCTTTCTATTTGAGGCAGCAACCTCTACTAACTAACCACTCCATTTATCCACATCCTTCTTTTAGTTTTGACCACATACGCACCGTCATTACTCCAATCGAAGGGTCTTTTAGACGAGTGGATTAAGGGCTACACAGAAGATCTGAGGTCGAGCTGCGATGCGACTGATATGTTGAGCCTTGCGATACCGATCAATCACACTCCGGAAAATGACACCTTCATTAACGACTTTGGCGGCCGACTGGGGGCTACACTGGATGATTCTCCTGAATCTGCCCTTCCCTCTTCCACACGTCGAGCAATGGCCAGAATGGCATACCTTCTGAATCCTGCAATGTCACCATTTCAGTACTTTATTCACCTTCTGCTATTTAATTTGCTTCTGCAAATTCTCTCTTTCACTGTTCTTTTCCCTTCACTTCACAGGACTCGCAATCCCTTTTCCCTACCAGTGAAACGTCTCTGGTTCTGTCTTATGAGTAAGCCGGGCTTAGGTGAAACATTCGTGCGTTGGATCTATCACCCTGGAGACTCTGCCCGCCTTTCCCTCAAGTCGATAGAGCTTGAAGCTCCTCGCAGGTCTTCCTCCAACGCAAATGTCTCCGCACCGCTTTCGCCGCCTGGAAGAGGTGTACCCTGTGATTCGGCTTCAAAGTTAACCATGAATTCTAAGGTTTGTGTCTGAGTCCTATTCTTTTCTTGCAGGCTGAGGTTCTCCGCGAACGGCTTTATTGAATTTTTTCATTACTTCAATCTAAAATTATTGGTGTTTATTTCTCATGTGCCGTCATCGGGCCTAGTCTTTACTCTTGTGTCATTTTTGCCTTTGTGGAAAATTGAAAAAAATGCCTCTTACTGTAGGAGGTCGAGCTACATGCCGGCGAAGCGGATGGGGTGGAGAGACCGATTTCAGCACCAGTACAACACGAATCTTCTATAAATTTAATCCATCGTGAAGTGGAGCCTCTTCTATGCATGTGTGTGGATAGGGTAAGTTCTCCACTCCTCCATTCGGCTACTGTGCTCCAATGATTGTGGCTCACCCAGTTTCTCCTCTACTATTCGATGGGTCTCCTAAGGTTGGTTATCAGTACGTGGCTCTGGCAACTCCCAAACAGCTCATCGAAATTTCGGTGACAAATCTTCTCACACCCGCTGATTGGCTTTTCGACGACTTCGAGTACGACCTTGAGTCTATGCGAAAGTAAGTTTTCCACTTATACAGCACTTTTAAATCAGCACTTCATCCCATCCTTTCCCGCCTTGGTCATTCAGTTTTCAATGCTGATGCAAATCATGGCTTTTTAGTCCATATTTAAAATCTCACCGCCGGGCGTCTGTAAACGACTTCATTCTCTGCGAAAAGACACCGCTCGACTTAGTCGACCAGTCTCATGAATCGGGTGAGGTCGGCTCTCAGGGTCTTCGGGGCCTAAACTCGCAGATTGTAAGTCCTACTTCCGCATCTTACAAGTGGTCATTCTCACATAAACCTTAATGTATCTGACAGTTTCGAGGTCTAATCAACACTCCGGCAGCTAACCTTTCGGAACACATTCTGGAAATCAGTCGGAGGGTAGCCCCAACGGTATTTTCTAGACTAACCTCACTTCTGTCGTGATTTGCACGAAAATTGATGTAGTAATGGCTTAACCAAAGACACTGCCTGCTTAAAGAAGTCTTCTTCACTTCACAGGTGCTCAAACGTTCCGTTAATGGCGTTCAGAAACTGTCTGCACATCCTTTAGTCCCTTTTTGTGAGTCAACTACACACTTTTGACAAGCATTTCATACTAACCGAATTTGCTGGTGAAAAGTGGAATTTCATCACACAGATCTCTGTGGAACTGCTTCGGGCTCCGTACACGTGCTGGAGTGGAAATCGGAAGAACCTGTGGTCTCGATGCTGACAAACACATTCGTACTCACACCTCAGGGTCTTAATGCTCCACTCTCAACCGGAGTTAGGGGAAATCCGGTCTCCGTGTTGCACATTGACACCTCGGGCAAAAGGGTACCAACATTTCTGATATTCTGCTTCGTTACTATCTCCTCTACTCTTAATTCTCAATCCATTTTACCAATAGTTCGGCTGCGGTGACACTAACGGAAATTTCGGCCTTTGGAATTTCGATTTTAACGGATCCAACAGTCACCCATATTTCGTAAGTTTTTTTTTCTGACTTTTCTGCATTCGCCTATAAACTGCAGCTTAATTAAGTCGTTATTCGTACCTCCTCAGAACTGCCGTTGTCATGGCAAGGGCGTACTTGATTTTGCCTTTCTTGAAGGCAGTGCCATGACATTTGCGACCGTTGGTGTAGGTGGAGCTCTTCCCTTCACCACGGGGACTGCTACTGGTCCCGGATCGACGGTCATCTCGACGCCAACTCGACCAGGGAAGCGAACTATGGCACAATCAGAACTAGAGGCGGCCAATTTGATCATTTGGGATGCGCTTCTACCCCCAACCTGTGCGGCAGTTATGGGTGAATTTCCTTTTTTTGCCACTATCAGTGTAACGAGCGACAGCGATTGCCGTCACCATAGATGAAATAGGACAGGCGATTCATGCTCACGGCACACCCGCTTCGCATGAACAGGACGTTCATTCAGATTGTTGGAAATTTCAGCTTTTGCGGAATCACCTCTGGATACCGCGTGCACCTGCGTAACAAGTGTTCCTTCGTGTTCAAACGAGCGTCAACTAGCTATAGGAACAAAGCGTGGTGAAGTTGCCATTTTGGACCTACGACGCCGACCCGCTACAACCCTCTTCAACGCATCAGCTCATGAAGGATCTGCCTTACGCTCTATCTCCTGTGATAGTGCCACAGATACTCTCACCACAGCCGGCGCCGACGGTCTCGTTAAAGTAATAACGACAACCATATAGGACGTATTTCATGCGATATGCAATTCTATGTGGTCGGATTCTTTTCAAGGTTTGGCGTCTCTCTGATCCTTGCCACCTGCTGGCCACATTCCGTTCCGATGGTCTCGGCAGCCATGGCAGCCGAGCAGCCGCCGCAGCATCCATAGCAGCAGCCGCTCTTTTCCGTGGTAATCAGTCGGCGGCTGTCGCCGCAGCCAGTCGCCCGGGCATATCCGAGGTGTTGCCGCTGCCCTCAACCTCTACCGCTGATGAAACCGAAAGCCTTCAACTCCTTACTACTCGCTTCCTCGCCTGTGGCGTCGACGGTTGCCTCCAGCTCTGCTCCGTCACTCCCCAGCCTGAGCCCATTTGGCTAAGCAAATAATGGCGTTCCTTATGTCTTGCTTCATCCCGCCTAAACCCTCCTCCATTTCTGTGATACGAGATTCCGACGTATAATCGTCTTTTACATGTGGTGATGTAACAAATTCTGTTGTGATAAAAAAAAATTATCAATGCATTCATTGTATTGAACCACAAATACACTGGGGTTTGGTCGACACCACCTTTATTAAAATAAAGCTCATAGAAAAAGGGGAAGAACAGTCCATTCAGCGTCAACATTCACTGTTCTCTAGTAATCAGCATGAAGGCACCCAGTGATGCAATCACAGCGTACTAAGAGGAATGAAAGTGCAACAAGGCATTACCTTCAATTTTGGGTAGTCGTTCATTACTATTGTCACCATACCGATATATGGAAGAAACCTAGAATAATAGATGAAGATCATGGAAGTCGTGCGGGGATGGAGTTGTCACTGAATTCAACTAAGAGGTGGATATGTCTAGGGGCGAAGCGATAGTTCTGATTCTCAGCCTGCACATTAGAGTTCTGAGCAGTTTAAATTAAAAAAACACCGCAAGCAAAATAACGACCTACCCTTTTGCCTTGCCCATAACATGCTTCTCTTCAAGCCAGTCCTGGCCCTGAGGATAGAGAGCCCGATCGTCCACGGCGTTATTGTCGCCTTTAGTCAAAAATTTCACTGTCCCATTATTTCTAACGACGAAATTAGGAGCAGGTAAAACGCCTTAAAACCAAAACATACGATCGGTGAATACGCAGGACACGATGTACGATGGGAATTTCACGGTCATCAATCTTAAAAACGGTGATATCTCCAACATTCAAAGGCTCTGACTTAAAGTTTGTCAAAAAGAGGAGATCACCTCGATAAAAGGCCGGCTCCATACTTCCACTAGAACCAAAATTACCAGTACAGGGCGCCTACCTCAGAACGACAACAATAGGACTAGGACTGTTTGTAATAACGATTAGGGACTTCCATATCATTAGTGCTGAAGAAAGAACCATAGCGAACGTCAACGCTTGGTAAAAAAGCTTAAGCTGTTTACTAAAAAAGAACGTTACTTGTCGGCCGTTCATTCGTTTTAACTCCCCCATAACGTCGCATCCAAAAATATTAAAGCCCATCCTAACGACGTAGTAAACCAGATGAGTAAATCGGCGGTGATGGAATCGCAAACAGACGAATAACCAATGGTAGATTAGTACGTACTCAAGAAATTATAAACACGAAGGCGGTGGTTAGTAAATTTCAGTCTCCGATATGGTAAAAAAACAGAGGCTTATGCCTCCACGAGATCGTGATAATGGGATATTATCACTGAATTGGACCAATTTAGAAATATATTCAAAAATATTGTCATTGATTTATAAGTAAGCGATCAAGAACAAAAATAATTCAAAAACAAATTCCTTATTTACTTTACAACTTTGCGCATCACTCACAAAAGGTGCATCGAATTAGGAAGGTCGATTAAATTGTGCAAAGCAAAGTTATTATACCAGTACGAAACCCGTTACACATAGTTCACAAACTTATTGCGGTGCTGACGCAAATAATGGCAGTGACAAGTACGTGAGCGCGTGTAACTGGTAGATGGCGATACTTCAAATCATGGATCGCATCCAAAAATCCAAAAGCACCTCAATTAAATTGGACCTATCCGTTTCAGTCAGATGGAGGGCTACGAGTGTAATGTAGCAAGGCGAATGAAAATTATTTTGCTGTTGGAACCTTGAGTCTCACCTTGGACTATGCAACTCTGTCCATAAAAAATCAATCAGGTAAAAGCACACACGATGCCATGCATTTGTCGGTCCCCACACTTTGTGAGCGGCACTTGCGGCCCCGCAGTCACTCTAATTATATTCCAACATCGCAAGTGTAAGGTAGAATATAAAAGGCGCGTCCCTGCGGCAAAATCGAAGTATTCATCACAGTGTGCACCATTCAAGCAAGTAGTCATGTAGTAGACGATATTGAGTTTTCAGAGGATCTTTTATAGAAGATTAACGCCGATTAAGTTAGAACGCTGTGCTCTTGGAGCGTTAAGACAAACCCATAGGACTCTGTAGACAACGTCCTGTTTGTAGTCGATTTTCGATTTATCATGTTAATCTCCAGCATGTATAAAAACCTGCGAAAGAGAACCTCCTCCTCTGAAGCCTAAAGGAAATTATTTAAAGGACAGAGATTACGAGTCCTCAAGCATAACAAGTTCCTATCTTTATGGTCTAAGTTAGTATAAAGTGCATTTTTTATTGCTCCATCATGCAATTCATAGGCCTTACAGCTTACGTTAAGTTAAAAATAATTCAAAAACAACGCTAAGAAGAAAGTTGCATGGCTTCGTCAGAAGACTTTTCACTATATCGACGAAAGCATTAGGTCGGGCTGCCCACATGTACTAAACAGGATGGGAGAGGAGTTGGACTTCGGCTTAGCCCTAAGGCCAGCGTGAAACGATTGGTGTGTTGGTTGCTTTGTTGTTCTTTCTGCCCTAAGATTGGGATTCGGGTTAAGTCAAGATCCTATTCCCTCTTCCTCTTTTTGTAAGCTTTCGTTAGGCCCAACGTAATACCTTCTTCTACTTGGTAAGGATTCTCGAGGCGCAAGAGAATGCCTACGGCGCTCCATTCGGCACACCTCCAGCACCAGCCATCAAAACATATGCCGTATTGTGACGACTAACTTGTGAGCCAGCCGCGCCACTCGTCGGCTAAGCTGCGAATGAGGAGCTGTACTTGCCCATGCCAGCAAGCTCTAATGGATCTGGAATTATTTTAAGTCAGAAAGAAGAAATAAGTGTGCATACTTCTGTTCAGCTTTATGTCATCGTCATAACGAGTTTGTTTGGGGGGAATTACTAACAGTAACACTATAGACCTTGATTTGTACTGTCGCAAAAAAATTCGTTAAGTCTAACGTCCAAAGTATGTAAATTTACTTCACACCGAAGAACTATTCCAAAATTGGGGAAAACCAAAATACAAAGGGTTAAAAATGTCGGGTTTGCTTTTCATCTCCACCGGTGTAGCATCTCGGGACTCTCCAACAGGTACCAGAAGGCAGTCAGTGGAGGTGAGTATATTTTATTAAAGAAATTAAAGAGCGATTCTGCACATTCTGAAGGTCAGTTCATGCACAAAACAGCAAGGAAAAATCGAAGTAACCACCAGTTTTACAAGTGGTCAAACAAATAAAAGAACACCCTCAATGACGTTTAATTAAGATTTATGCATGCAATGCATTTTGCATTTCAAAAATTGCATATTGTAGATAAGCATAATAAGGCTCTGCGAGAGTGCGTAGAGGACTGACAGAGGGGAGTATTTTTCTTAAATTTGCTAATCTCCGATAAAAGGTACGGTAGTACTTTGCTTGTGACCACCTGACGTTTGGCGATCACTTTAAGATTCTTCTGATCCCTGTACCCGAAGGATGGCCTTCGTGTCGCGTTCGGTCTTAGTTGCTTTATTCTGCTTGGAATACCGAATTTTTCTTCCCGGTGGAAAGTCTTGGGACGCTACCATTGCCGGAGTCTTACATAGCAAGTAAAGTACAGTTAACCTTTAGAAAAATTTGGATGACGCCACTAATTTCTTAAGATAGTAACATTTACTGCGAACTGAGAACATAAAAAGTTTGTCTCATCACAGTAGTGCTGTTTCTATATGGCCACCTGAGATCTAGCGGCTACTTCAGAAGTTGCCTAATTAGTGTACGCATGGTTTAGCCTACGAGTCACACGCATTCTGTTATACTTTGTTTATGTGAGGTTTAGCGATAACTTTACGATTTGTCTGGACACTGTACACGTTGGCTGCTCCTCGGGCCACGCTCAGACCCCTTTTGCCCTGTCGTTCTCGGAATACATGTATTCAACCTCACTTATGCCTTCTTCCAACCCATCGGAAGCCTTGGGACGCTACACTAGTGGCGGCGGAAAGCCGACCCCACATTTGCTTTTTAACTACTTTT